CCAGACCATTTCCAATAGCAATCCAGGGGTGAGAACAAACAGGAATATTGGTTTTAGGATGATTGTTTTTTCATTCAGAATTTTTACTAACTCCAGCAGTTTGAATAAATGTTTGCTGTTTCACAGCTATAGTACAATTAAGAGCTGTAAAAATATGATTTATATACCATTGTGGTTGAAAAGGAATGTAAAAGTTGCTAGCAGTAAAATTAGTGCTACAATTGATGTTGTAAACTTGTAATGGGCCAGGAGACCTCCAGTGTAAGCAGCATCATTAGATGAAAGAGGAGGCTCTGAAGCACCCCAAGTAAGTAGTTCAAAAACAGGAGGATTTAAAATATGGGTCCAATAAACATTATTACCTACGGAAGGCTGACTAAAAAGGAAAAGCCCATAGATTATGAACAGGCATGTTACCTCCAGACCTTAGGAATTTATAGTTACGTGATTTTGGAGTTCTGGAATTGGATTTGTTGTCACATGGTGTCACATGATAGGGGCAAACGGCCTTTGCTGGTATCCAAAGTGCCCATAGGAGAAAGAACAGAAGACCCTCTTCCCCATATTAACAATTTAACAGGTTTTAACTATTGTGGTCCTGTTGGTAGGCGATGGTAGGGCAGTTTGGTCATATCTGAAAGCATAACATTTCAGTTAAATCCTAGGTAAAATAACCAGTGTTTTTAATTGTGTCCTGTTACAAGAACAGATCCTTATCAAACTTATGTTAATAGCTATATTGTTATAAAATGACAACACATGAATAGTTTTTAAATCTTGGAGGGATCAAGTAGAGAGAAAAGTAAATGTTTAGATTTTTGTTCATAAACATATACCTTAGCAAGCTGTTATACCTTAAAATATTTTTTTAAATCTGGAAAACAAAACATTAAGAGAACTAGCAGTGTTTCAAAATAAAGAAATAGTAAAAACCCATAATTTTTAAAAAATCACTTCATTAGTTTTATGTAATTAACTTTTGTTGTTTTGACCTTGGTGAGTAATTTCATGCACCCATCAGTTTCTCTATTAGGATTTTGGAAATTTAGTTTAAAGGTATGACCTCAAAGTTTGTCAGGAAACTGTACCTGTCAGAGTTTTTTCATAAAATATTTGAAGACATAACATCTTAAAATTATAATTGAACCAAGATTATGATTGATAGCATTTTATAAGACATAGATTTTAAGAATTTTACATAATTTTGGAACATATATTTATAAATCTTAGTACTGACAGTGTTTTCCCATATAGTTTAATTTATCAAATAAGCCAATTGGTTTTGAGATATATATATATATATTTATCTCTTTTGAGAAGCTTCAGGGCCCTTGGAACCTCTCAAAGTTAGTTTAAGTTAAAAGGTTGAGTTTTTAGAATTTGGTTTTGGGAAATTTGTTAAGTAAAGGTTTGAAACATTCAATTAGATAAGATCACAAATCATTATAAAAATAAAAGCACAATGACAAAGGATTTCAAAGGCAGAGAGCACAAGAAATTATAATGCGAAAACATGAAATAAGCTTCCTAGGCCAGTTACCTAAAAGACAAAGAAAACCTTTTACAATTTTTTATTAAGAGCTTTTAATTGCTGTTAGGAAATCTGGTTGTTCCATTGCAGGTGAGCAAACTCTAACCCTGCATCAGAATGTCTCTGACATTAATTTTTAGAAAAACTCACACAGTTTTTAAATCCAGTTAATCTTTCTACTGTAAAACCCTTTTAACAAACTTATCTACATAAACCGTTATCATGACTGACTTAGACATTTTATTTTTGTCCTATACTTCCTATTTCTAAATAGCAAGTCATTTTACTCTAGGACAAAAATACACTGTATCAGATGCTTTCTCACATAAAAATTATTTTTCCTTCTCTCTAGCCCCTCCAACCATAACCACATCTCCACAGCCATAGCCTTCCTCAGATCACCTCCTTTTTACATACTTTTTAAAAATCAATGTTAAATTGGCCTAATTTGTCAAAAATATTATATATAGAAAGGTTTTTTTGTATTTTGGTTTTTGGTTTTGGCAGCGGGGGGGGGGGGTTACGACTTAAAAGCTTTTAGCAAAGACAAATGTAGTCCTGTTTGATTAGTAAACCCAGGCAACAATGTGTGTTGATAAGAACATTTTTATACATTTAGATTAGTAAATAGGGGTCCATTTGTCAGAGCAGATTACATAAAGCCCTGTTTGAGTCTCAACTATTTTTTACCAAGTAGATGTTTATGGTTTCCTAGCCAAAAACTTGGTATATTTAGAGGCTTAAAACCAAAAACAAGTTAATAACAAGACATGTGCAAGGCTTTGGGAGAAGCCCAGAAGCCAGATTTCTTACAGCTTTTAGTCCTTAAACTAATTAAACAAGCATTAAACATACCACAAAATGTGTTGACCTAAAAACAAATTTAGGCAAAAGGTTTAAATCAAATTTTGAAAATATATTTATTTTATCAGCAATTTTAGAAAATTAAACTCATGAACTTGAAAAGTATACTTATTTATTTAATGAGTGCACATTATTTATAAGCCAATTTGGTACCATGCAGACAATACAAACACACATAGACATGAACATGTAGACATAACATACATTTACATAAATATACATGTAGACATAAACAGAAACAAGGATTTTATTTAGTTTGTCCAATTAAGCTTTTTCAGTTCCTGGCAAAGATTAAGGTTTATCCTTTTTCAGTGACATGAGCATGTCTTTGTTTTTTGTTAAGGTCTACAATAGGTCTCAAAGCAACTTGACATAAATTCCAAACCATTAGATGAGAAGCCTGAATTGGACCTATTGTATTTTTTAACCATCGACCAATTTGTTCCCAACCCTCAATACTAAGATTTCCTTCTTTAAGGTACTGAGGGCATTGTTGCCTAATAACTAATAATAATTTAATTAGTTGACACTTAAGTACCTTATACCCTGCTGCCTTAAGGAGACATTGAAGTTGTGACCTATATTGAACTTCTCTTTTAGACAGTGAGATACCCATAGCTGGAAGAATAGATAGAAAGCAAAACCTACAGGTGAAACCCTAATTAGACACTGCCACAGGCATGCAATCAAAAGCTGTCTGTGATTCCCTTACTGGGATGCATCTCCCTTACTAGGGACTCCCTTGCCAGGATGTGTCAGACGTCCTTTTCCTCTCCAGTAAGTTGGCAGGTCAGTCTCTGGTCTGTGGGGAACTCCTCACACGGGGCACCACTTTGTTACACTTTCCTCTGTGTAACCGAGACAGAAAAAAGAGAAAGAAAGAATTCACTCAAAGTATCATCAATGAGGCCTGGAGGGACTGCTGCCCATCAGGGGAGCAGCAGCCCTGATTCAAAATCAGCCTTTCTTTTTATTGACAAGACAAGGAAATTTCACAAGAAAAATCAGTTGATTCAATCATCAAAGAAGGACATAAAAACAGGCAGTGTAAAACTAGTAACAGCAGTAAGTTAACAATGTGACATTCCAGAATATAATTTGTAAAGAGTTAGGTCAATTCCCCAACAAACATCTTGTCCTTAGTAAACTTTTTCTTTTTTACATACTTCCTACAGTGATTTCTTTAGCATATTTAAACAGCATTCAAGCATTTTCCTTAACATATCTAAAGAACAATCAATAGGTTAGTCAATAGTCATTCAAGCCAGAATCAAACCAGCAACCTAAAAGAGTCAAAGTACACAATCCCATACCTAAACAGTGATTAGAATCGATTAGATGGCTTTTGCCAAACTTAACTGTGGACTTTTGTCCCCTACTCAAGAGCCTTTAGGCTTATTCATGCATTACCTAAAAATCCTGTTCTAAGATCAAAGGAGAATCAAGATTTCTAACCCGCCACAGGTTTTTAGCTCAATCTGGCTCCCTACACTGAGATCTGGTTTAGTTTTATCAGACTCAGAGACAGAATGCATAGTGGTTACATTTGGGTTTGGGACAGACAGGCTGCATTTGATTTCCAGCTCTGGCACTGCCTAGATATTTAACCTCAGCAATTATTTACAGACTCAGAGCCTCTATTTGCCAATGTATAAAATAAAGCAAATACTACTAGGTACTTTAAGGATTAAATGAGTTAATATATATAAAATCTTAAGTGAATGGATCATAGGGAGGACTGAACAAATATTAACTAATATCATCATCCTTAACCTTATGGTATAGGGCTGATGATGATGTTGGAGGATTAATTATAAGAGATATACAGATGTATATCAATTGTATATAAGTGCTGATAGCTAGATTAGAGATGCAAAAGAATTATGAAGTTAATACAGAAATATGAGAATGTTTATGCTGGTATTTTTGGATGGTTCAACTGTGTTTAAATCCATACCAACCCCTCCCTGATTATTAGGAGTGTTTGAAATCTGTGTGTACACTTAGATTTTCTGTCTGATTATACAGTTTTATTAGGCAAGTAATTGCCATCAAGTTAAGAATGATTGTTTTGTCATAAAAAGACCTTGCCCACAGGTTAGAGGGTGAGTGTGCTATCAGGGTTAGGCCGAGGTGTAAACCCACATGTCACTGATCCCTGGTCAAGGCATAAATAATGTTGCTTTGTAAACATTGAGTCTGAGGAGTTTCAGAGTAGTTTGTGCCAACCGTCAGCACTGTTTGTTGATAACAGTGAGATGGATGATTTGGATCTCCTGATGAGAGCCCCACAGGGCTCTGCTGTTGCGGCTTGTTACGTAGCAGGAATATGTCTAAGTGACCAGCAAAATATAAAAAACACCAGCCAGGACTCCATCCCAGAAGCAAACTGAAATGCTACCAGCTGAGTTTAGAAGATTACCCAGAGAGAATGTATGGTAGGATACTCATTGCTTTAATATTTAATTCCTAGTTAAGCCCTTCAATTCTCACACAGGTACATTATCGAAATCTCAAAATATTGGAGGCAAGAGTCAGTCATAAACATCTCTTATCCTGCTTTTTTCCCAAAACATGTAAAATATGTTTTTGTCATTTGTTTCAGACCCCCTGGTTGTGGAATACAAGGCACTGCTGGTACAACTACCCCTATCAGGTAAGGAGACATTACTGTCTGGGTTTTTACACATGTAGAGCATCTTCCTTAGGTCAATTTCATGATTTCGGGCAGGTCCCAAGAGGTTGGCCAGCCCTCTTGCTTTTTGGCCCCACCCCACTGATCAATGCTGGATATAACCTAGGGAGGAAAAGGATTTGTGTGCTCTTAGTGGAGTTCAGAATCAAAGTCCAATTGCTTTAGCAGATGGAGTAAGCTTGGAAGGTATATCTGCTGGGTCAACAGGTGGATGATTCCTGTTCATAACAGCCGAGCTGCTTCTAATTACTGAGAAAAGTGAACACCTGTTGACAGCACAGGCCTGTCTCAACAGCAAGTGGGAAAGCTCAAGTGTGGAGCTGCAGCAGGCACACTGAGTCTGCTTCACTTTGTGGCTTAGGGGCAGCCTCAAATATATAAATCAAGTACCATTTCCTTGAGCACAGAAAACTAGGCTTGTAACATTATTTCTGCAACAAAAATAAATCATCAGTGAAAATGAGATTAAAGTCATATCCCAGAAAAGGATCATTTTAGGTCCCTGCCCACTGACATACGTTTGCATTTTCCCCTGAATTCAGTAATATTAGCATGTGTTGTTGTGGTCTCCAGATCAGTTAACGTTCTAATATCAAAGCTGCCATCATGTGCTGGCCCGTTAGTTCAGTTGGTTAGAGTGAACCCATGGTCAAGTGTTCGAATCTCCGTACAAGCTAGCCACCAAAAAAAAAAAAGCTGGGAAATTTCTATAATTTCTAGTGCAATTGGGATATGTTATAAAAGAGCAGTAAATGCAGCTGGGTATTTTGGTGACAACATAAAGAGACATACCTTATAATAAACAACTTGGACTTTTTATTTTGACTGGGGTTTTTCTGGGTTACCTGTTTAGAGGCATTTGATCTTTCTGGTATTCATCAGGTTAATGGGGATCAGGCATGCCCTCTGTCTTCCCTATTAAACACAGTGTTGCAACAGTAGGTAGGGATGGCATTGGATACTCCTGGGGCAAGTTCAAGGCTAAGCACATCTTGAAACGGAATTCCAGTTTGCATTTCCATCCCTTTCAAGTAGTTTATTCAGATTAGAAAAGAATGTAAATAAGCAGCAAGACATGGTTAGAGCTGAGCATTCAGGGATATCCGATAGAGACTAAAGCAATGTTGAAACCGATGTATTTTACACAATTATAATTCCCAGGCCCAACTGCTGTTTTACTATCTTAAATACTCGGAATGTTGTCATATAAAGCTCTGTTTGTATCCTGTAATGGTATACTGAGTGGCAAAATCCATATATATCTAAATTTCTATTTATAAAAGTACATTAAAGTCTTCTAGAAACCTTAACTTGAATGTTGGCATGGCAGCTGCTGTAATGCACCGCATTTATGAAGTAAATTCTGTCATATGAAAGACAAATCCATATGAAATGTAATACCTACTCTTCTTCTTAACTATAATGTGGTCCAAAATAACTTTCATGTTTATGGCTGGAGCTGAGAAATTGCTTATTTTGAGAAAGATGAGTTGCTAGAGCTGTGGCCCACGATGCAACTGTGGACTGTTTCACAGACAGCAATGTAGATTCAACATGCAAGTTTGAGGATCTGGTAGATACAGTTATGTTTAAAAAGAGGAAACATCACTGATATGGAAGGAAAGATGTCATATGTGGGGATTCAGATCAAGACGGCCTTCTACTGGTAAGACATCACTGCTTAATGGTGAATAATTCAGCATACAGCTCCCAAAATCTAGGACAAATTCATGATCTCTTGTAGGAACAGTAATCATCCTTGATAGACACCATATGCTAATAAAAAAAAATAGCTGCTTGCTTTTTTTGTGTGCGAGAAAAAAAATTAAACAGTATATAGCTATTATGTATGTAATTAGAACACTGTGTGTGTAATCATGTCTATGTAAATATATAGACTACAGGTCAGAGTCAGTCTCAAGCTGTAAGAGCACTTTTAAAGATTGAGTATGCTCATGAAACATTATGTCTTTAGCATTATATATTAAGTAATTGAACAGATTTTGGATGAAAAAGTAGTAGTCTACTTCAGTTTTATTAAGGACACACTACTGCTTGTGTATGAGTATGTATGTATCATTTGCATAAATAATAATTTGTATGTACATGTGTGTATTTTAAGATTAAAATAATGTAAAATTGCATTCAGCTGAACCTTGTACAACTTGTTATAAGGAGCCCAAGTTGGGCATGAGAAGCCCTAATGTGATGGTCACAGGGCTTCATTAGCTGTGAGACTTGGGTTCAGCCTTTTAACCTGGATTAACTGTCAGTAGTTTCCTGTCAACTGTACAATCTAGATCTAGAATGATAGCACTAACTTTATAGGATTTTTATGAATGAGTGAGCTTTGTCAACTGCAAAGCACTTCACGAATATAGTAATTATTATATCGTGATACTCTTTTATGAATGCTCCAGTCTCAAGATGTGATTTAACTTGTCCTCATAACCCCTCTAGGGCATCTTCCCAGGTGGTGATGCTGGGAGTAAGAGAAGGAATCTCATTGAAACTACAATTTAACTTTAGCTCAAAGGCTCTTGAAGCCAGGGCCCTATTTTCTAGACTTCCTTGCTGCCAAATAACCCATCTCTCATTGTTAATGCCTTCAGATTTTAAAAGGAAAGTTCAGTGGGAAATATTTTCTCCCCAGGGCAATGCTGAGCTTGATTAAAAACATTGGTGCTTGTCTCAGTCAGTTCAGGCTGCTATAACAGAATACCATAAGAGATTATGTCCCTTCCTGTAAGAACACTAATCCCATTCATAAGGGCTTTACTCTCATGACCTAATTACCTCCCCAAAGCCCTCCCTCCAAATTCCATCACATTGGGTATTAGGCTTCAACATCCGAATATTGGGAGGACACAACATTCGGTCATTAGCAGTGCTCACTGATGCTTGGAGTTTGGAGCTTAGGATTGCTGGTTGGAGAGTATCCTGTCCCATTGTGCATTTTGTTCCCAAAAATTTATGAGAGGGACAACTACATTTTTTGGTTCCCATGCTTAGAGCTGGAAGTTGAGTGCCAGCTTCTCAGGAAAGTCATTCGTTCTGCTATTGGTGTACAATGCATTTACGTTTCAATTGTATTTATTATATATAGCATTACCTCATGTATAGGGGTATGGACTAGTTTGTGTGATGTTTTGAAGGTTTCTCATTCATTCTGATAAAGCAAGACATTTTTTTATCTCTAAGAAACATTTTTAAATTTATTTTTTGAATTGAAACATAATTGGTTGTACTATTTATGGGGTCCAGAGTTGACTGTCAGTATTTGTGTACAGTTATATCATGATCAAATCAATATTATTAGCCTGTTCATCATTACAAATCATAACTGTTCTTTGTCCCTTACCCAATTACTCCCTAACCCCCTGCCCCCCCACTTTGATGAAGCAAAACATTTTATTGCAACTCAGTAAAACAATTAAAAGTAACTCACCAAAAATGTTTTGTAAAAACAATTTTGTTTTTATGGATTTATGTGTAAAATAAATACTCCTGATTTCCATTGCCTCTCTCAGCCTCTCCCCATCCCCGAGCTTCCAAAGCAGTTTAAAGCAGGTATTACCCCCATTTTACAAATAAGTAAACTAAGGGCCAAGTTTTATAACTACTAAGCTGTGGAGTTGGGACTTGATCCCTGATTTTCTGTCTGGGTGCCTAGTCTGGTATCTCTTGGCCATCTCTCTATCCCTCTAATCTTTTAATAAATATATTTGAATAGTTCTTGATATTTGCAAGGTACTGAACATTTCCTTTCATAACAAGAAAGCTTTCTGATTAATGCAGAACTTGAAACTATCCCTCAGTGACCCAGACAGCATTCCAGTTTCTGTCACCCACCTTCCTTGTCCCTGTACTGTAGAATCTCACAGCAGTTGTCCAGGGTTATTCTTTGTGTGTATGTATTAGAATTTTTTTTTTCAGGTTGCCTAAAAGTTCTTGCAGATACTTGTTTCAAATACCGAATAATTAATTGGGTCCCCAGATGTTCATGGTGATTGATGCTTTATGGTTTGGAGATGAAATGAAAGGAATGCCATTGAGCATGGATTAGAGGCATCCTTCAAAGCCCCATTATGTCACTTTTCAGCACTGAGCTTGAGATGTTTGTGATACAAACTGGATTCCCTATTAACTATCAATCTTTCCTTTTTTGTTTCATCCTCAGCCACTCACAACTGACCTTCACTACTATTACATCTTGGAGCTGTCGTTTTATTGGTCTTTAATGTTTTCCCAGTTCACTGACATCAAAAGAAAGGTAAGAGTGGTTATGTCATAAAATGTTTGCAAACATGAGTCTTTGATCCTTGGCAGGTGGGTGTAGAGTCTCAAAGGCACTCACCTCTCTTCTGGCAGTGCTTATGTTAGCACTACTTTCTACATTATTACAGAAAGTTCTCTACCTTTGTTTATGCTGTTTTGTATTTTGTTCCTATTGTCTGTTTACTCTTCTGCCAAAACCCAGTGTTCTTTTCTCTGTGAAAAAATATAGCATGAATCCTGACAGCAGTAATTTTCTCTTAGTCTGATTCCCAAGTCTCTCTGTTCTCCAAATTAAATAAAAAGTAAAAATTTTATTTTTATCTCCTGGGAGACAGTAAAATAATAATCAGCCCAACAGAATGAATTCCCCAGTTAAAGGGTTATCTAGTATCAGAATATGTCACAGAAATGCAACTAAATGAACTGTCATCTAGTTTTCACCCCTCCGCTCCACTGGAATCACTTTTGCTGAGAGTACCCATGACCTCCTAAGTATTAAATCCACTCACTCCAGCTTCCATCTTACCAGCTTCTTGACAGAAATGGCACTTTTGGCTATTCATTGCTTATTTTTTCCATGATTCCATTTTCTCAAGATTCTCATATTTGGATCAATCGTCCAAAGTGGTTTTGCTGTCCTCCATCTTAATGCCATGTGCTCTACATATTTGCGTGCACTAGAGTTCTGGACCTGGATTACAGGATATCATCTCCCCAATGATCAAACTTATACTTCCTAACACTTCCAACCATAACCTATATGCCAGTAACTCCCAAATGTTTTTCTTCTGCCCCAAACCCTGCCGGTGACTAGAATATACCCTGTTTTCCCCTTCTTACCAAATAAGACGTAGCCCAAAAGTAACCTCTTCTTTGAAGTCTTATTTAAATTCTCTCAAGATTGACCACTGCTTCATCTGTGTTTAGTTTACAAGTGTCCTACAGTTACCAAATTGTATTTTTAACAGTGTGGTGAAATGACTCTGCCCCTTTACTGGACATGGACATTGAAGAGCAGTGTCTTAGTCCAAAAAGGTCCCACCTCCTAATATTTATTGTCACTTTGGGTGTTAGGATTTCAACCTACAAATTTTGGGAGAATGCAAACATTTACTCCATAGTAAGCAAGATATGTTTATTTCTACACCCCTCATGACTATCAATGCACCTGCTCATGGTGGGGATCAGTAAGTTTAGGGTGAATGAATAAATAGACTCAGTTTCTTTGCAAGCGGGACTGTACATTAATTATGATGGGGCACAATAATGGATCATTTCTTGGTTAGACCAGTAATCTGCTAAATTGAAAAGTGCTATCCGAGCAGCACTTGAAAAGCATTTAGGAGTCTGTAGGCCCCTTTTTCCAGGAATACTCCTTCCACCATCCTACAGCTTACTTGGCTGGCAAAAAGCTACCTTTCCTGACTTGTGTGGCTGTAAGGCCTGAATATGGCATATGTCATCTTCTTCTCAGAAGTAGAATGGAGTACCTTGATGGTATCCGTCAAGGCTAGCTTAAGCATAGCAGGTAAATCATTGACTCCCATAATTTGTGGTTCCCTTATTCATTGCATCAAACAGGCTTAGTCAGTTTCTACAAACGTTTAAAGATCCTTTAGTGATGGTATGCCCGCTGAGTCTCCTCTGTCTTACGTGAGGAGCCTTCTTCATTCATGTAGTCAGTACAGGTTGAGTATCCCTTATCCAAAATGCCTAGAAACAGAAGTGTTCTGGACTTTGGATTTTTCGGACTTTGGAATATTCAAAGAGTACATACCAGTTGAGCATTTCTAATCTGCAAATCTAAAATCCAAAATGCTCCAATAGCATTTCCTTTGAACATCATGTCAGCACTCAAAAAGTTGCAGATTGTGGAGCATTTCAGGTTTCAGATTTTTGTAGTAGGGATGCTCAACCTGTACTTGTAGACTGATTTTCATCTATGTGCTGGACTCATATTGCATCTTCTTTTTTTTCTTTCTTTCTTTTCTTTTCTTTCTTTCTTTTTTTTTTTTTTGAGGAGCCCTTTTGTTCAGGTAGGCACCCAAAACAGTTATATAACAAAGAGAGAAATAGAACATTCTTCCCTTTTTTTTTTTTTCTTAACTTGGGAAAATTGATGCACTGTAACTTTGTGTAAATTTATCAAGTCTGTGCCATGTGGGAATGAATTAGAGCCCAAGTATACCAAGCAAAATCCTGTGATTACTCTCAGACATGTGCACAATTCTTGCCTCGCCTTGCCATGCTCTTGGCCTTAGAGATAATAAGACTTTCACAACTCTTTGCCGTTTTATTGGTTCCTATTCTAGCGAGATATTGTTATTCCAAACATCACCTAGTCCCCTCTACTTGCTGGAGCTTTCTTATCGTGTGCGTAATATGTCTTACCAGTAAGCTAACAGGATTCAGGGAGTCTTCAGTGCTTTAAGCCAAATGACCATTATCTCAGTAGTTTTTGTAGATAGACTACTTTCAAGGATTGAAGTATATCCTTTTGTATGACTTTAACATATTTAGCATCAGTGTAGAAAACACCTGTTAAAAGGATAATTTCACAGTGAAGTTTGTGAAATTGACCTAGGCCTATATATATTGTCAATGTATAAAAGTTAATTATATATATATTTTTTCTAGTCATCACCAATAGCTTGTTTTAGATGTCTGGCATTTTACTCTTCTTCTGTTGGTCAGAGTACTTCTGCACATTCCTGGTGCAGTTGGCTTATTCTTGTTTCTTTCACAAAATGGGAATTTGGCTACTACCAGACATGCTGATTACTTGGCCCACGTTTAGTAAGGAAGGCCTTTCCCTCTGCTGCCGTCTGTCATTAGTGAGCTGCAGGCCTTGCTTTCCACCTTCGCATCTTGCTGTCTGGCCCTGTGGGTCCTTGGTGGGCCTGTCCTCATTACAACACAAGGAGGACCTGCTGTTCCAGCCATCAGTGAGGATTTATGGTATGTTCTGGCTGCCAGATACACTCCCCACCTTTTATATCAGAGCTGCTAACTAAACCTTCTAAAGATGCCTGCTTCTTAATTAGGTAATAGAGATGTTTGAAGACACCCGTTGGCAATATAGTATGGAAACCAACTCTAATGGCTATTCATGAGTTCCTTAATAGAAGGGTTATCAAAATGTTTCGTAGGCTCCCCTATTAAATGACAGTGAGCTCGGATGGCCATTTTCAAATAAGAAACAGGATTTATAAACCTTTGATCCAAATGGATGCCTCAGACTCTTAGAATCAGTACTTTAAATGAAGTTTAGAAATCACTTTTTTCAACTTAATGTGCTCATAAATCTTTTAAAAATGGCTTTTATATTTACAAACTGTCCTCCCCTTTTTTGCCATCTTTTAAAAAAGTTACTCTGTTTTCATATAGATCCTGGAGTTTAAAAATGAGGGTAGAACCTTTTATCCCATGATGACAGCACATTGCCTCTCTCTTGATCATTTCCAGAATTGGTACTTATGTGGTCAGTGATAAGAAATACTATTACTCTTCCCAGAGGGAAGGGACTAGCAAAGACATAATGGACTTGGCTATATTCTATTATATGCTACAAAGATGTGTAAATCTATTTGAAGATTTTTTATTAGCTTTTTTTTCTTTCTTCCCTCTATTTCTCTTTCCTACCCTCCCTTCCTTCTCTCTTCCTTTCTTTTTTCCTCCTTTTGTTTAAAAAAAAAAAATTAAGGTATTTTCTTAAAACAATGGGTGTATTCTTGGTATTCAACATTGTTTGAAACATCTTTTATTACTCAAAGCTTAATTTCTATCCTTTAGCACCTGTTCACAGTGAGCATTTCTCCTGCACTTCAAAATTTTCCAAGGAACCTAATAAATATTCTTGTGTTGGAGCTCAGAACAGCTTGCTTACATCTAAACCCTATGTCCCTTTTAACTAAGATGTTGTTTGGCTTGAAGGCCTGGGCCCTTGGCCAATGAGTCCTGCTTGTGTTCAGAGTCCTTCTCGGGAAAGCATCCTTGGCAGGGTTCCAAGACCCAGCTGGTCAAGTCAACTTGTTGCTCTTTTAGTCTTTAACCTGAGCGACACTATATCTTATAAAAGATTTTTTTTTTTTAATTTTTTTTTTATAAAAGATTTCTGACAGAGAGAGGTATAATGATTAAGTTTAGCAAGAAACTTATTGATGGGCTTATGTTTGCCCTTTGCTAGCTTTTTGCAGAGAATAACCAGCATCCCTCACTGTGAGTGCTTTAGCTGTCTTTTGGGGCCCTGCCATGGTCCAGATCTTTCCTGCCTCAGTTTGTTTTAGGGTACAGGAAAAAGCATGCTTTCATCTTCTTACAAGGAAGCAGTATGGCATAGAATTAAATGAAATAATGTACGTAAAACCATCTAGTACAATGTTTGACAAATACAGCTTAGAACAGCACCTGGCTCATAATGACCAAAATTTTGTTGAATCAAACCTAGTGTTAAAACAAACAACCCGAAGCTGGTCATCACAGATTTTTGTATTTTTGGTCAATTAAAATTAACAAAATAATAATGAAGAAGAACTAACTTAAGGTTTCCAACCTTGTATACTTTTTCTAGTAAGGAAAATTTTAAAAACACCTACCATTTATCACCATTAATTCATAAAGGAAAGCACATTTTAACAGAAAAGGAGAAAGGACATCTTGTGATAAAGGACAATCCTTTAAATTTAGCTTTATGAAAAAGTCCTTATTTTTCTCATTTTGTCCTAGACTAGGAAAAATATTGCTATGGGCAGTATGGCTTGGAGGTTAAGGGCCTGGGCTCTGAGTCTGTCTGCTCACCCAGCTGTCTGCCCACTCCTAATTTGGTGTGACCTTGAGCAAGTTACTTTACCTCTCTGATCCAAAGAATGGAATTTATATAACCTACCTCATGGGAATGTTGTGAGTGTAAATAAGTAATACATGTACTTAGAACAGTTCCTGGCACATCATAAATACTCAGTAAATGTTAGCTATTGCTGTAGTCCTTAATGCAGT